TATATAGTTTTTAAGATCTCAGAACATGGAGTTCCTTTTGTAAATAATAATAGGTCAATAAATATAAAAATATTCTACTATTACGTCTTTTTTAAAGACTAGTCATTTTGACTGGTTTTGGTAGAGATAGCTACGTCTCAACTGTCGGTAGTTCTAGTGTTAATAAAATAAATATACAATTAAAATTATGCAATTGGATAAAATTGGCAACTAATCACAATGTTCGTCTGCCCTGATGTCATTTTTTCGTATTCACGAAAGTAACTGAAATATTCCAAATATTATAAGATTAAAATTCCCAAGATAATGAGACACTCTGTATACTCGAAAAATAAATATACACCGGTATGTAGTAATTGTGTTAGATCATCCTGGAAATTATCGTTGTTTTTTTAACGCTTTACTTTGAAGGAGCATAAGTTCCATCTTCAGACAAGTGCCATTACATTGGAATTTACCTGCGATGCTATCAACGATTGCAAGGATATTCGAACGACCTTAACTCGTAATACGTGCTTGAGAATCCTCCACTTTTGACCTTGGTCGTCAAATAGCCTTGACTATGGCATGACCTGCGCGAACCTTGAGTATCTTTGAACACGACCACTAACAAAAAGTAAAAGTACAGTGACGAGAATATAAATTCGTATATATCTGTTTGCGATTAGAATTTTTGTTTGGAAATACGTTTTTGAAAAGCTAAATCTGAAAAGCCAAATTTATCTGCTGAAGTTCAACTGGTTTTTAAAAACCGAGGATTTTGAATATTATTATTATCATTATTTGTTAGTTAAAACTGTACAGATTCTAAAGAAATAACGATGTTTCTTATATTCTACATTATGACTGAAAATAACGAAATCTATCATAGAATTGCTATGAGAGTCGTGTTAAAATATGTGTGAAATGTGTTCTTGTTTTTATTGTTATTATAATGAGAATCGTTTATTTTGTTGCATACTTGCTGCCCATTTTCAATTTGTCCACATGTTCTCCTAAACGGACGTAAGAAACATTGCTACAAGAATCTAATTTCAATTAAAAAGTGAATAGAAGAGTTAAAATATCTAATCTTGCCTTTTCTGTTTTAAATATTAACTTCTGCGACTGATTCACTTTCACATCATAATGATATTAATAATTCAATTTCAACAATACACGTTTCACGCGAATGGTAAAAATGTCCTTTTATATTGACACTTCTTTTATAAATAGATAGTTCGAAATTGCAACAACTTTCAGGATGATCTAATCTCTTCTCGGTTAGGAAACCTCGCGTCTCTGCTGTATAAATATATTTGAAATATACAAAATAGAAAAAGTATCTTTTATCAAATTTCTAAAGTCACTGTATAAAAAAGCGTTGCATTACATAGTTGAACAATGCTTGGCATCGAAAGTGTCGTCGATGATTTGCGAGAGGAATAGATACATATGTGAAACACGACAGTCGAATGTATGATTTCGAAACGTGTCTGAATTGTTGGTGCAAAGCGTATAAAGCACTCAAAGCCCTCTGTACGTACGAAGTGCGATGATCGTACTGAGAAGATACAGTGCTGAATTTACAAGGCCGCAAATCTGGAAGAGAATATAGCAAACTGGAATTACGTAATTAATATAATAACTATAATAATGAATTATTTTATGATACAGTAAGTAAATAGTTTGCGAACTTTTGTACGTTTGTAGAAAGTTTTAAGAACTGCATTTGGTATGTAAGACGGTTTCTAGCAATAAATAATAAAAAATAAGGAACAGTAAATACAGTAAAAAATAAAAAATCTTTCCAAAAAGATGTTTTTTTCTTTTTTTCACTTACTGCAGCTGCCATTAGTACTTCGTAGTCTCTTTGATTCTTTCTGTCAGACACAGGTACTATGAATGTTATCGACGCAGCTAAATACAATCCGAACGCTATAGCGTGATAAAGAAGTTCCTGAAGAGAAAAGACGTGAAACGTAAGATTAATGTTTGGTTTATCGGACATTTCGTTTAGACATTTCATTTTCTTACGGAAGAACGATGTGACGTCTTTACGATTTGATGCTAAAATTACAAACGTTGCATAAACGCAACAGTCTCATTGCGTAATTCTTCTCGTTGAATTTAACATTGTAAAATTTAAAATTATGGAACCAAAATTCCGAAATATTCGCTCAATATTTAATAATTTCATGAAATTCCAAGAAATCGAAGTATTTGTGACATAGTGAATTATTTCTGGGTTGTAATTGGTGTAAATTGCACGGCAAGACTTGTTCCTTACTTGCGTTTAATAAAATGGACCAAAAAAAGTCGCAAATTTAAATATAAAACTTACATAAACTGTCTTTGAAATGATACTGGACGTCGATAGGGAAATTAGGCAACTTAGAAGCAATACGAAGGTACCGATCATAAATGTGGTTGTTATTAAAAGGAAGAATAGTTCTGCGGTGATCCAGTAAATGTTGATGTAATGCCCTGCTATTGCTACGCATACTACTCCAAGTGCCTAGAATATAAATGCGAGAGAATGTTAGTGAGATGAATGCTATCAAAACATGTATCTACAGTATTTCGAGACATAAAACCAAATTTAATTGAAGAGTGAAAATAAGAGAGAGTAAAGTTTAATTAGAAAGCAGAAATAGAAAAGGTAAAATGAAAGTTTTGTAAAAAACAGATTCTTATTTATGAAAATATTTCTTATTTATTGATGAAACATATTGAAAGTTGCTTTTTACAAATGCTTACAGCATTTATGCAATTTGTAACTCAAATAAATATATACCTGATAGTTTAAGACAAGATTACAGAGTTTTCATTCCTGAGTTTGAAGATATCAAGATCTGTAGTCTATAGATACATATGTATTTTTAATTGCACATTAAAATCGCAGAAGTATGTTGTAAAAATATTGTGTAAGTATCTCGTGCATTTACATGAAAAATTTTAGTGCAAATTTCAAATATAATTTGATAAAATTAAATATAATTCGAACGAATGCTTCGACCTAATAAATAGAATTTCTAAATCTTTATTCAAGTATTTCGTAGGTTAAATGAAATATAGGAATGAAGCTTAATGTTCAATCAATAAGATGCAATTATAAAAGTTCGCAAATTAATCGTCTTAATTCGTTTTTTTTGCAAATAAAAATGTAATCAATTTGTGGACATTCAAATGCTAGCGCCGCGTAGCGGTAAAACGGTGGAACTAAAATCTGCTTGCTGTCCTTGTCGCACAGTGTTGCTCTCCTTTTCTACAAGCAATGTGCTGCCATCTATCGGATTTTTCCATTTTGTGCTTTTAGTTCCAGCGAAATTAAGAGGTGCTTAGGTGGCAGCACTATCCGTAAACAAGAAGAACAACAGTGTGCGACAAGGACAGCAACAGCTTTTAGTTCCACCCTTTCACCGCTACGCGACGCTAGCATTTCAATGTCCATAAATGATTAAATTTTCAATTGCGAAAAAAACTAATTAACAGAATTAATTTACGAACTTTTGCAACTTTCTCCTTAATTAGACTCCAATTTAGACTCTCTTCCTATATTTCATTTAACATAAAAAACGATTAAATAAAGATTTTCAAATTCCACTCGATAAATCGAATCTCTGATTCAAGTGATATTTAATTTCTTGCAAATTTCTTAATTTCGAGAAAAGTTGTTAGTAAAATAAATAATTTATAAAAATAAATAATATATATCTTCAATCGATGATACAAATTCTAAAGCGTTCGAATATTTATAGTGAAGAGCAAAACTGAATCATCAACAATGAAAAATCGTCGATACTTCAAACTATTACAGTTTCGCAGTACAAAATCATTTAACACTCTGATTGGTCTTATTTAAAAGCGTGAAACTTCTATTTTAACAGCATCAAGTTAGTTTTCTCTCAAGGATGTTTTTTCACCATGTAGTGGATGGAAAATTAAAGATACTTTTATTCTTAAAAATTGTCAAAATTCAACCGTCTCTAAAAGCATTAAAAAATTTTTTTTGTAATTAGATTTATAATAATCTTGAAAATTGAAGTTTCCTCTTTACAACGACCTCCTAAAAAGTTGCTGTACGATTTCTTTTAATCATTATATCGAACTTCGATTAATGTGAGACGACAAAAATTCAAGAAATCTTAAGATTCTGATCTTTAAAATTCAATAAAATGGTAAAGAAAAATCATAGAGTAAACTTTATAATGTCATTCTAAAGGAGAAATTTCTATCTTCAGGATCATTGAAGATTTAATTATGAAAAAAATTGTTCAACATTTCTAGAAACGTTTGAATTTTTACAATTTTCGTAAATATTTTACTTTTCTCCACTTTCTCTTCTGTTGCTAAAAACATCTTTGGGAAAAATCAGAATAATCAAAAGAGACCAAGATAGACTTTTACTAAGTTATAATAGTTTAAAATATCGACAATTTTTCATCGTTATCAATCCAGTTATACTCTTCGCTCTATTAACTTATACTCTATATATCGTTGTCAATGATAAAAAAAAAAAAAA